TTGAGGGGTGGGGGAATTAGAAAAGCAGGTTGATACTTAACATTTTTCTTAACTATATTTACTTCTTAGACTTAAAAAGGAACAAGAAGTGTAAATAAGTATGTACAGAGTGATGGATTAAGCACATTTGCATTGGGGACTCTAGTGTATTATGCTTTTAAGTCAAAATTAATAGCTTCCGAAATTTGAATTTGACAATTATTATTTCTAAGTCTTTTTAAACCCCAATTTTCCTGGTAACCTTCTTTCAAGAGTCCCCTTCTCCTAAAAGTGGTCAAACTCTTTATATTTAAGCTTTTTCCACTCAGGCCTCAGTTAGAGTGGTTAACAGGGAGAGGGATGGTCCCATTTGATCTTTGCCACTGAGCAAAACAAAATTTCAAATAAACTTTTAAACAGTAGCTTTAGTCTTCTTGTATAAAGTGGGGAAGATTACACTTATGTGATCACCAAAGGATTTACTAGTATCTTGATCATTCCAGTTGCACAATGTTAACTGTACAACGCACAGCGGAAAAGTGAATAGGCTTCACTAAGTGACTCTAAGTCTAGAAAATAGGTTGTTTTCTTAAAAATATTTTGTGTATAATGCAAACTAATTAGTAAAAACTATCTATATATTCCCCAATTCCTATAGTAATCATGTAACTGCTACTCCAACTTTTCTCATACTTGAGAGATGAGTATATGTTGGATTGCAGCATTTCTTCATGTTAAAAACATGGAATATATTATATATATAGTATTTAGGACCTAAACAACTAAAATTAGTCACTACACAACTAGTTGAAAACAACACAGGCATAAAATATTAACAAAGAATGGCAGTTATATTTATGCTCACTTTCTGGAATAACTGGGTAATATTCAGAAAGGCACATTGAGGTATTTAAAGTGTATGAGGCCTTAGGTCAGTATCTAGCCCAGTATTACTTGAGATTCTCCTGAAGTCCATATAAAGGGCATTTTGGAGGAACTCTTCTGGGCAATATCTTCCCCAATCTCATTTAAATTCTGGGAACTACTTTTCATAGCAGATAACCTGGCTCTGAAACTAAACACCTGGTGATCCTTAGTGTGAGATGTCTATGATACTTTCAAGTTATATCAAGTAAGATACAAGCTACAGATATGGCAAAAATATGAAATCAAGATATAGCTCAGTGGAATTGGATTAAAACATATAGTTCTAAGAATTCACTTCTGATTGTATGTTTCACCAATTCAGTAACTCCACGAATCAAGTATTCACATTTTGACTTTTGATTAAATAAAAATTTGAATTAAAATTCTTCCCCTGTTCTAGTGTTGTGTCTTTAACTGCTGACTATTGCAGCACTTCTCTCTCCTTTACACCCAATGCACCACACCCTGGAAAAAGGAAATCACTTCCAAAGAACTCTTTCCACCAAATCATACCACAGGAATAACTATCAGATGAATATAAATTAACATATAAGTATATAATACTTCTTTTTCTAACACCATTAATAAGGTTATTTTGACACAAGTATTCTATTTGTGGCATCAAAGAAATGACACAAAGTTCTCGTGATAATTGGGCAGGAAAAGCAGGTATCTGTATGAAAGACAATCTCTAGCATTTACTCTGAGGTAGTAAATTTCACATCAAGACAAATTAGCAATTATTTGAATGCCTAATATAAACAAAGCAATGGGAAAGAACCTTCTACTTCAGGGAAAAAGAGGATGGAAAGTACAAAGATAAGGTACCTTTGCTTCAAAAGAAGTTTTGGCAATCCCTATATTCTACACCCACAAGATACCTGATACAGTATCAAGTATTACAGAGTTGAAGAATCATTGCCTGAGGCAACTAATACTAGAAAAAGTTGAGGCAAATGGGCACACAATTCAGAAAAACACTTGCAGTTTTCAACTAACATCATTACTTCCATTTAACACCTCATTTAATTAACTTAGTATCTCAAGAAAAAGACTGGTCTAATAATGCCCAAATAGCGTGCTATCTTACAATAAACATAAACAAAGTGATCAGCCTAGTTTCCAAAAACATCAATAATTTTCAAAGTTCACAAGAGTCACTTGTAAATTTCCACATGGCTACTTTTCTAGATTCTGATATTGTCTGGGAACATAAGCAACTGCTATTCTAATAATGTCTGGGAACATAAGCAACTGCCTATAGTAAGAAGTAATGATTCTCAAATGCCCACATAAAGGTGTGAAAAATGCTCACTGCCTAGGTCACTTAAAAACTATTTTTAAAAAAATTATGACTAGCAATTGCTGGTTTTCAGATGTAACTGGTTTGAGAGACAGTAGTGCCCTGCAAAGGGAGATACTACTGTGGCAAGAGAAACTGAAGTAGCCACAAACACCTTATCTGATACACACATATTTTAGACTTGTCCCTACTTTATTTCAAATACTGATTCCAACCTGGAACTGCAAAAGTGACAGGAAATGTGATATGGCAGTTTGGGTCAATTCCAGAAAAATACCTTAAAGACAGTAAACTACAGTACAAGAAGTCATCAAATTGATTTGCATAACTGCTTGAAAACAAAATACAAAGCATTTATTAGTTATGAGCTGTTGTTGAAGGTCTGCTTTAGTATGTAGCTTTCATTAATGTATACTTTTCCTCATGCTTTCTTGTCCTTAATAGTTTTCCTTAAGATTATTAAAATAGTATAAACGAGATATATTTGGAAAAATTAACCTAACTCCACATAAAATATTTGGACTTGCCAAAACTATTTAAATGTTTCACTGCTTGAAATTACGTGTTCACAGGCTTATACACGTAATTTTGAGTTAACTACTCAATTTTCATCACTTTTTCATCTTTGAGAAATATAAAATAAACCCTGTATCATATAGCAATTTAGTGCCATATAGAAAAAAGCAAATGTAACAAAGTGATATTTTAAAATTCCTGTAGTTTTCCTATGAGAAAAAAAGTTTAAATATGGGAACTGAGGCTTATTTGGGGATACATTTGGATTTTCTCCTAGGATTAAAAAGACAAAAAAAAATGCTTTATAATTTGTCATTTGTTGCGTCCAAATGTTTGTGCTTGCAACACTAAATATTTTATGTTCTCTTTTCTCTCAAGACAAAAAAAAAAAAAATCCAAGGTAGTCTGCATTCTACTCTTAAATGCGAAGTGGCTTCATCAGTAAAAAAAAATATTCCAGAAAGTGGAAAAAAACTATGCTTTGATTGCATCACAATATGGGGGATACAGGGGCATAGATTCAGACATTTTACTATAAGGTAGTAAATGACTGGTGACCTATTTTGATAGTGTTGAAAAGAGCTACCACCTTGGCTTGCTGAAGGTTTGCTAGAGTTCAAAACAGGAGACACACTAGGTTAAAAAACATGCTGCAATTTTAAAGGTCCTAAGGCTCAGGTTTAAGTAACTTTTAAACAATCAAAAATATGCATCTTGAACTCAAGTGTAAAGTCTGAATTTTGAAGGAGTTTCATATTAAATTACTTTTTGGTACTTGAATTACTAACTCCGGACATAGAATGCACAGTGTATCTCTCTTACAGTGTTAAAAAATTAGGTCTTAGTCATCCCTTTATGGATTCCAAAATTAAGATTGTATTAAAGACTGTAAATCCTGTTTGCATTAGTAAACTTTTAATTATAAAAATTCAATGCTATCATAAAATGTATATGAGAAAAGTGTGATATTAATCATCTAAGTTGAGAACTAGAAGTAATTTGAGTACCAGGTGCAGTGTGGCTCATGCCTATAATCCCAGCAATGCAGCAGCCTAAGGTGGGAGGATTACTTGAGTCCAGGAGTTGGAGTCCGGCCTGGGCAACACAGAAAGACTCTACCTATATAAATGAAAAAGAATTAGCCAGGTTTGTTGGTGCATGCCTGTAGTCCTACCTACTCAGCAGATTGAGGCAGGAGGATTGCTTTAACCCATGAGTTCCAGGATGCGGTGAGTTATGATCGCACCACTGCACTTTAGCCTGAGCAACAGCGAGAGGCCCCATCTCTTTCTAAAAAAAAAAAAAAATAATAAAGGTAATTTTGTAATACTAAGTTAAGCTTTTCCTAAGAGGTAGTCTGAAGTGTACGAATACCGAAGCAGGGAATTAATCACCTAAATATTTACTCTTCTTTATAGGCCAATGTATGCAAACTGTAACTTTTAAAAAATCCACTTCATATAGTTTGAGGTCTCAGACTTTTACATATGTATCTGGAATACTACATACATATAGATATTACGAATACTCTTGTAAAATGAAAAGGAGAATTGGGTAATAAAGTAGGGTATCCTGGCTGGAGGCGCCTCCACGCAGAGGGAAAGCTGCACAATAGGCAGGTGAATAAAGTGCTCTCTGCAATAGAAAACAGTTGGTGAGGCCAAAAACTCCTAACAAATCCTAATAGGCAGGTAAACTTCATCATCCAAATGGCTGGCTGGAATTTTAATACTTCCATTGCCAAAAATCTGACTCTATTTGAGGAGTTTCAGATGGAAGACTTCAACCTTTAAAATGTAAATCAATGGCAAAGCAGAATTTTGCTTTAAATAAATTCTCATTAAAATTTTAATATGGAGATCTCATTAAAATTTAAATTTTAATATGGTATTTGGAAAATATGAAAACAAAAATCATAAGTATCAAAAGAATTTTTTAAATCCTTTTTAAAGATACTTAACTGTTCTAAAATAATCCTAAATCAATATTGTTTTCCCTCCCATTTAGAAAAAAAACAAAACTCGATTGAATTTTCTCACAAGGATACTTAAAGGACAGTCTAAAATTCTAATTCTTTCCTGTTAAAATTCCTGTTGACAGATGTTTCGTTAGTTTATAGCCCAACTTTGTTGGAAATAATCTGAAGGAAAAAAAAAATCAAAACCTAGAGAAGCTTCATTTACTATTTAGAATTTTCTGGATTCAAAATCTTTCAAAGTGTATCATCTACTTTCATCAGTTAACTTCATGGCTGTTAATGATTATCATTTCTTAAAATGATGCTTATTTTCTGCAGAATGTCATTCTGCATAAATTTTAATGCAAAATAGACCCATCACTATTTCTCCTTTTCTCCATTATACTGTTCATCCTGTTTTTATAACTTTGTCTTTAAAATAAATCCATTTGAAAAACTGTAACTTAGTCTTCCAGTCTTGTTATTTACCTGGAATTTTGTTTTCCTGTTTCTCTAAATGATTTCAACTTTGGGGATTGGTTGATGATTCTTCTACCATCATTCAGTATTACAAAAGGAAAACTGATACTGGCATACATACTCCAAATACAGCTTTTAATAGTACCTGTATGATAGCTCCCTCTACTTTTAATCTTTTATATTCTGAAGATTTAGAACCAATCCTTAAATAGTTAAGAAAGTTAGAAAACAATCTAATACAGAATCATTCATATTCAGGACACTCTGAATGCAAATACTTCTTTCATAATCCAGTTTTACAGTTTAATGAACATTAATATGGCACCTCTCAGATCTGATATATCTTGTGCTTAAAGTTTGCCTTACACTTTCATTTAAAAGTTACCCTGTTCCCCACTTACCACATGTATAAAATATTCTATTTTTCTCTTACTTAATGTTTTACAAGCTGATAATTTTCACTATCAGTAGTGGATCTTTTAAATAACTCACGCTATGTCCCCCAAAATATACCAATAATATAATGATTAGATTTGGAAACTTGGCATCTTTTTAAAAAATGTGCTTTCTTTTCCCTGTGTAAGAGACTACTATACCATTTGTGAATGACACCTCTGTTACATAACACCTACATACCTGCGCCTGTAAGAACTGACCTTGATCTTCTAAGACTCTACCTTCATCAGTTAAAAAAGTCAATAACCAGAGTCCAAAGAAAAGCAGTTACTTTTTTAGACCAAGTTAGTGGATAAATGGTCTTCTCAATATGGCTTAACATTAATATGGCTATAACATAGGGACTAGTCCCTGTTTTTATTTTGACCTGATCACAATTCTTTAAAGTCTAGACTAGTTTTCCATATGTTTTCCACATTTTATTCTGATATCATATCTTTTAAAAACAAAAGGATGCAAACATTTGCACTTCTCAATTTTTTTTTTTTTCTATAGATAGATGTGGTTTCACTTATTTCCTTCAGGCTTTTTATCACCAAGAATCCAAGTCTGATTTCGATACTGCCCATTTTGTGTGAAAATTTAAGAAGGCGTCATCTTCAAAGCAACACTCCAGTTGGGCTTCTTCACTGTTTAGCTGCATTATTTCTTCTATGACATTTGTAACAGACACAACAAATATAAGAATTTCAGTTTGGGGTTCTTTTTTTCCTTTTTTTTTTCTTTTTTAAAATAAGTATGTTTCCTGCTTATTTGTGTTTTCTTTTCTTTGAATATATTGCACAATATTTTATTATTAAAAAAAGGTTTTATGTCTCAGGCAAAAAGTTTTTCTCCTTCACTTGGGAGGTGTTAATGTGTATTATTTTCTAAAAGAGGTAAGTGGTTGTCTGTGTGGCCATCCTCAAAGGGAACCTAAGGAGAAAGAGAGGGAAAAAACCAAAGAATTAGTTTTATTCCTTACATTCTTTCCTCAAAACACAAAGTTTTATTTTGGACAATCCTTTCTAGTCACCAAAAGCTACTATCACCCTATCTATGTATCTGGGTTTTTTTGAGGCAGGGTCTGGCTCTGTCACCCAGACTGGAATGCAGTGGTGTGACCACAGCTCAATGCAACCTCAACTTCCTGGGCTCAAGTGATCCTCCCACCTCAGCCTCCCAAGTAGCTGGGACTACAGGTTTGCACCACGTTGTCCAGCTAATTTTTTTCTACCTTTTATAGTAATGGGGCTCTCACTATGTTGCCTTGGCTGGTCTCGAACTCCCGGGCTCAAGTGATCCTCCCTCCTTGGCCTCCCAAAGTGCTGGAATTACCAGTGTGAGCCACCATGCCTGGCCCATAGACCCAACAATGATTCTAAGATTTACAGATCGACACTGTGTATACTATACCACTTACAGAATTAACAGGTTTATAGGATCCAAGTCTGAAACGACAGCAAATTATTTCAACTATAAATTTTCCAATTCCATGTAACATGCCTGTAATAAATAATAAGTTTATGCTTTTAATAAATTATTTCCTAAACTTCTATTTAAGAATAAATATACTGGAATAGATTACGGAAGAAAACAAAGCAGTTTGCATTATTCACTTCCACGGTTAAAAATAATCAGGACAGATATTAAAACAAATGGATTTCTTTTTTAAAAAAATCACAAGGCCATATAATTCATGATCTGAGTACAATCAATCTTTTGTGGGTTTTTTTTTTTTTTTTTTTTTTTTAAGACAGAGTCTTGCTCTGTTGCCCAGGCTGGAGTGCAGTGTTGCAATCTTGGCTCACAGCAACCTCCACCTCCCAGCTCAAGCAATTCTTGTGCCTCAGCCTCCCAAGTAGCTGGGATTACAGGCGTGTGCCACCACACCTGGTTAATTTTTTATATTTTCAGTAGACATGGGGTTTCACCATGTTGGCCAGGCTGATCTGGAACTCCTGGCCTCAAGTTGATATGCCAGCTTTGGCCTCCCAAAGTGTTGGGATTATAGGTGTGAGCCACTGCACCTGGCCTGAACACAATCTTTTCAAGATTTTTACACACTGATACAATTTTGGAAAATAAATATCAAAAACAAAAATTTAAATAGATTTAAATGAAGCACTAATGAAGAATTCCCTAAGAAAAGCTATTCATTCATTTAAAAATATGATTCTAAGTATAATAAACTACCCAGCTCCATCTAATACTGAATAGGGACTGAAGGTGAAGAAATAATTATTTCTTCTTTTTTCTATTATACTTAACTCCCAATTTTCATCATTACAATTCAACAAATAATCTTAGTGAATTCTAGGATCTCAGGATAAAATCATAAACACATTACTGATTAAAAACCTAGTTCCATGTATTGCATAATTCAAAGTACTATAACACATGATTTTACATACTGTACAGTTAAAAATACCTTAAATTCCTTCTAGGCATTTTCATATTTAATCCTATAGCACACTTGCAAATTAGATATTATTATTGCTATTTTTACTGACTTGAAAACCTCAAAAAAGGTAAGTGATCTCTTCCAGGATACCACCAAGTAAATGGCAGAACTTGCATTCAATTCTAATTCAATCTGACGTTAACACCCAGGATCTCTAACTCACCATTATATAATCTACCTTACATCACTGAAAACAATGAAATTAGTTATGTTTACTGGTTAGTCAATATAATTTTGGAGTTAGGTAATTACATATTAAAGAAAAAGCTACTTAAATATCGAAACATGAAAATATGTATTTCTTGCCCCTTAAAGAAGCAGCATCTTAAATGTAAGCAACACTTTTAGAAATTATTAGACAAAAAAGAAATGGTTGTTAACCTGTTGTTGAAAAGATTCCTCCAACAATACCACAGAGTCTTACAAAAAACTGCCAGAATGGCATATGCTCCTCAGTAACTGTCACCATAAGAGAACTGAGATCATATTTCATAAATATCCCAGAGACTCCATGGCTGCCTGCAGCATGGTTAATGATACGTTCCTAAAAGGTAGGGGAGAGATAGGAGGAAGAGAGAAACAGAATTCATGTCATCTGGTTACTTACATACATTCAATATTAAGCCCTGCAACCCTACTGTAAAAGGACATCCACATTTCTTTATGAACTGTCCTACTAGACTAAGCTCTTCAGAGACAAATTATTTTGTATTCTTTTTGTGGTTAGCTTTTGAAACTATCAAAAGAGCAGAATCATTCTTTCTTATTTTCTCAAAAAGGTCACCTTAGATACAAGTTTTCTACTGAGCTCAAGAGCTTACAAATATATGGCATGTTCCTCATGCTATAACTAAACTGGAAGCTTTAGGAACACAAATAATGAGCCTAACTACTACCGAGGGAAATTAAAACAGTTTTATGTAGGGCATTACAAAATCTTTTTTCTATTACTAGCACAATACAGCCTTATAAGCCATATTGATCAGGTTTCTGATTATGACTATGTCTTAAAGCTCTAAAATGCTCAATATCATGCTGAGTTATAAATATATTTGTCACTACCTCTAAGTGTAGAAGCTGTTTTAGGGATAAGGGCATCTATATAATGAAAGACAAATAATGATTCACTTTGGATTCCAGAACTAATGAATGTCAGCCCTCTCCCTCCCAACCCCCATCCTGCACTTTACCATTTCCAGTTACTCCACTCTTTTTTAAGTTAATAAACTATTTTAGTTACCCTATCAGTATAAACACATCCTTCGACGGTCAAAGCCCTGGGATTCTAATATATATATATATATATATATATAGTTTGCTTTTGTTATTTTAAAAATATATCCTAGACATAATTTCATGTTAGTACATAGAGATCATCCTCATTTGATTTTTAACAATTGCCTCTTCATCCATTGTGTAATGAAGCATCTGGATTGTTTTTAATCTTCTACTATTACATATAACAATGCAATGAATAGCATGAAACACACATTTTTGGCCACTGTATCTCTAGAATAGATTTCTAAAAGCGAGATTGCTGGCTCAAAGGATAAATGCATATGTCCTTTTGCAGATACTGCCAAACTACCTTCCACAAAGATTATGCCATTTTGCATTCCCGAAGCACTACATGTTTGCCTGTTTTCCCCAAAGCCTTGTCAACTCTATGTACTGTCTTTCAGGTGTTTGCCAATAAGAAATGGAATCGCCCCACTCCTTAAAGAAATGTTGAAAAGCACAATATGTTTATGTATAAACTTTACCTAGTTTCTTTGTGTGAGTGTATATACACACATACCTATACATATATATGAAGTTATATGGGCTTGTATTATCCCCCAAACCAAGTTAAAAGGTATAGACACATGACACTTCACCCCTAAAAACTTCAATACCTAATCTAAGAACAAAAAAAAATTCCACAATTATTGAGGGCATGGTCATCATGAGTTATAAGGCTAGTAAAAGAAAACACCATATAAAGGAAAGCAACATTTTTTAAAGCACTTAAATTTCACCTTAGAACTCTTCTGAATAGAAGTATTTGAATATTCACCATTCGAACAAAAAAATAAGAAAACATAATCCCAAAGTAGATGAGAATTCTATGAAACTGTCCAATTGCAACACTTTGCTCACCATTGTCAGTATCTATTTACAAGATAACACCACCCTGAGGTAGTGGAATATTCTTCATCTCAATCAGATGAATACAAAGCATTAATTTAGGAAAGCAAACCCTCTAAATTTACTATCTAATCCATAATAACCATGTATTCCCAGAGAAGGCAGTACATTTATTAATAAATAACATAGAATTCAAAGAATCTGCTGCCAGATTAGGAACTGCTTATATCAATTTATGAGAAAACATATTACAAAATTAAGACATTAAGAATAAAATAATTAATGTCATCACAGTTTAACAATTTTAAGTCTTAATGCAACAGAAAACATTTCAGATTTTATAACATCTACTTTTATTGCTCTAGAATATATTAAAACTAATTTCTGACATTATTGATTTAAAACAAAATTTGAATTCATTTCAAAACTTTCACAAATTTTTAAATGGGGGAAGACACCAAGTAAAACGCCACCTTATTCTGTAGGCAGGAGACTTTAAAATGCTTTTTTTAAAAAAAACCACCAAATCATTTTAGCAGGTGGACTCAACTTACCCTCTCTGTCACAGAAAACTGATGGGTGTCTGCTGATATTTTATATGTATGTAGTTTTGTTGGCACAACTGTAATAAAATATTGGAACATCTGGTTGTCTAGAATAAAAACAAAACATTTTATCAATTCAGTAGCAACAAAACTACAGCCAAATATATTTTTCTATTAAATACATTTAACCTGAAATTTAGCTGGATGTGGTGCTCACACCTGTAATCTCAGCACTCTGGGAGGCTGAGGAGGGAGGGATTGCTTGAGTCCAGGAGTTTGAGACCAGTCTGGTCAAGAGAGCCAGACCCTATTACTACAAAAAAAAAAAATTAAAAATTAGCTGGGCATAGTGATACATGCCTTTGGGTCCCAGCTACTCAGGAGGCTGAGGTAGGAGGATCACATGAGCCCAGGAAGTCAAGGCTACAGTGAGCCATGATTGTGCTACTGCACTCCAGCCTGGGCAACAGAGCAAGAACCTGTCTCAAAAAAATAAAAAATAAAAACACTTAACTTCAAATTTAATGTTACATACAACTTAATATCTAAGAAAAAAATAAAACATTTTAAAAGAAAAAACCAATGAAAGCAATTTATTTACACTTGGGAAAACAAGTTCTCAATAAGCGTAAGATGGGCAATACAGATGTTTAAAAAGATGCACTAGTGACTTAAATATTCCTTATAATCATTATCATCTGTTTATCAACATGAAAAAGCAGCCTTTTTTTTTTTTTTTTTGAGATAGGGTCTCACTCTGTCGTGGCTGGAGTGCAGTGGCTCAATCACAGCTCACTGCAGCCTCAACTTCCTGGGCTCGGGCAATCCTCCCACCTCAGCCTCCTGCACAGCAACTATGCTGCACAACACCAAGCCCCAGTAATTTTTTTCATTTTTAGTAGAGACAGGGTTTTGCCATGTTGCCCAGGCTGGTCTCAAACTCCTGGGCTCAACTGATCCTCCTGCCTCAGCCTCCCAAAGTGCTGGGATTATAAGTGTGAGCCACTGCGCCCAGCCAGCATTTCTTTACAGTACAGAAACTAAACATAAAATTATAAGAGAATAACCACCACAAGACACATTTTCAGTTTCTGCTAGTATCTTTAGATATACAATAAACCCAAATCAAATTAGCTAGCCTTTGAATAAATAAAAGAAACCAATATTACAGCAGGAAGGTATCTAAAGAAACTACTCAATGATGGCCTGTGGTTACCGTGTAATAAAAAGGACCTTTTTTTTTTTTGAGACGGAGTTTCACTCTGGTTGCTCATTCTGGAGTGCAATGGTACCATCTCGGGTCACCACAACCTGTCTCCCAGTTTCAAGCGATTCTCCTGCCTCAGCCTCCCAAGTAACTGGGATTACAGGCATGTGCGCCATGCCTGGCTAATTTTGTATTTTTACTAGAGACAGGGTTTCTCCATGTTAGTTAGGCTGGTCTCAAACTCTTGACCTCTGGTGATCCATTCGCCTAGGCCACTTAAAGTGCTGAGATTACAGGCCCGTACCCGGCCAAAAGGATCATTTTTATAAAGTCATTAGACATCTGTAGCTTTGACACAAGTTTTAAATACCAGTATATTATCAATTACTAATTAATTGTAAACAATTACCCATTCACATAAAACATGTTAATTCTCTAGGTTTAATTCTAGAAAAATTATAATTAGACACACCTATCCATAGGTTCAACTAGATAAGCAAGTAAATCTTTTTATTTTCTTTCTGTTAGAGATGAAGCATCTCAAGTAGAGGGATGTTAAGAAACAGGCCAAAGTCCAGGTTATTAAGTGGCAGAGTGAGAACTTGAACCCAGGCAATTTTACTTAAGGGGAACATGGTCTTAAATTTAAGCAGAAAAAATTCTCCCAAATTTAAATAGAAGCTTGCACCCCTTTGTACATAAAAGAGTAAAAGCTGCTGGGCGCAGTGGCTCATGCCTGTAATCCCAGCACTTTGGGAGGCCGAGGCAGGCGTATCACAAGTTCAGGAGATCGAGACCATCCTGGCTAACACAGTGAAACCCCATCTCTACTGAAAAAAAAAGATTAGCCAGGTGTGGTGTCGGGAGGCTGAGGCAGGAGAATCGCTTGAACTCAGGAGGTGGAGGTTGCAGTGAGCCGAGATTGAGCCATTGCACTCCAGCCTGGGTGACAAAGTGAGACTGTCTCAAACAAACAAACAAACAAAAAAGAGTAAAAGCTTTGACCTTCCTCTCCACTTCTCTCTCACTCATGGAAGGAATGATTCATCTGCAAAAAGTAATCATGTGTGGCTAAGCCACTCAACTAGATAGTATAGGCATTCTCTCTCTTAAACAGTTCTGTCTTCAAGACATATATATGCACCTCTCTACCATTCAGAAAGTGAGCTATCCCTGCCATTTGTGAAGCTGGCAGGGTAGGAGAAGTATGCAGTTAGGTTATCCAGTTTGTGGAAGCACATATAGGTTGTTTTATTTCCATAAGCTTCATTAATAATAAAGCTGCCTGCAATGCTGTCAAAAAAGATCATTGCTTGGCTCATTTATTTACTTCACTAGAGTTTTTTTTTCAAATACCACAGCCTCTTCCATGCCCTTTCTCATATCACAGGCAATCTCCTTTATTTTCTTCATAGCCATTTGTCCTAACACTTATTATCTAAACATCTAATTCCTTATAGGAATGTGTGCTCTATGAGGGGCTGATACAGTATCTGGTTTATCCAAATTTGCACTGCATTAAAGATATTCATTGCTAAGTAACCTCTGTAATACTTTTGGAGAACATCAGGAAAGGGATAGTTACCTGACATGGCAGATATATAACTTTGACTTTTTTTTATTTGGAAAAAGCAGCCCAATAAAACATATATTATGAAGTAGGAAAGTATACAACCTGCTTTAAAGCTTTGGTGATACTCACCTCACAGCATTTCAGAATATGACTCTAAATACCCCTTAGTTTCTCTGAATTTAGAAAGAAGTATACTTAAAAACAGCTTTTTGAAAATTAACTTGTTTATATTTAGAAAAGTTTCTGTACAAGAATGTGTAGTTCATTTTAGCATCTTGAAACAAAGCATTTGACCAGTATGTTTCGAAATGAGCATCTCTCAGGCAACATGTAATGAATTTCAGTGGAGAATGAACATATGCTTAGATTACAAGATTAGATCATGCTGACTAAAGCTTATAAATCTCAAAGTGTTTCTATCCACACATTTCTAAATTTAGTACACTCAGGTTTCCTGAAGTGAAACATTCCCAATGAACATAAAATATTCATGAATGTAAATCAGTATTCTAAATTCTAAACATCTTTAATATATCTGATTATAACACTGCTAAAAGGTAACGAATATGAATAAATCTAAATAGAATATTAATAAATCTACTTAAACTAATAAAAAACTAAATCCTTAATTAAATTTTACAAAGGATAGAATTCCTACCAGCCAAATAAGCTTCAGAGGTCCTTAAAATGTCCAATAGCTAGAACATGGTATATGACTATTTTAGAGAGAGGCAATCAAAAACCCACAGAAACTATGAGAATAGACAATTTGCTAAAAAACTAAGAAAATATTTCCATGTTTGGATAGACTTGATACTTTAAATGGAGCAGAAAGCTAAAAAGAACATTTAAAAAAGGTTATCTGTGCTATAATGTACTCCTTCTATGTTAATAACCAACTCATTCCAGAATAACTCTAGGTTTCTGATATTTGTAAAATTCTCCAGAGAGGTTTCTTAAATGATAAATATGATTTTAAAACTGAACCTACACAAAGAAAATTATTCGTCTCAGAATGTTGAACTTTTCTTTTGTTCTTATTCTTTGGTGAATATAAAAAGTGCAGTATGCCCTATGAATGTATTAACCTTTCATCTATTTCTACTGTTTAAATTCTACTCCTTCTGCCTTTTAACTCCTTCAACTTTTAATTTGAATTTCTTTATTCTGTTCTATGGCTCATTTTTGAACATTCAAATCTCATCCACTATTAGGACAAATTCTCTCCACACATCTCATTCACTAACCACTTAAAGATTATCTTTACACAGCAGGTAGGAAGACATTAAAAATATATATTAAGCACAATTTTCTACACCTAAAATCCAACAGTAATTATTACTTACGATCTATAGCAATTTTTTCAGTTCCATCTAAAGGATTAATAATTGCTGGAACAAGCTCTCCAAAAGACAAATGATCTATTCTATGAGAAAAGTTGTAAGCTAAAAGGCAAAAAATAAAAATAGCAGAGAAATGATATTATTCAAAAGTACATGCTACAGGCTGGTTTACATCCTTACCTATTCTCAAATGAAAATGTTTAAAATATGCAGGGATAATAATACAATATTTTAAGCCACCTCACTTTGAGAAAAATAAATTTAAATATACATGAATTAAATGTACAAATTCTGACAAAATGCTGTATCTCAAATTTTATAATTATATACAAATTAACTTCTAGAAAATATTACTATAATAATAAAAGCCAAAAATATCTATCTCCTTTTCCAAATCATCATATAGTAACTGGACTGTATTGTCAGAATTGGAATGATGTCCATGCAGCCAAATAAAATTCATCTTATATATCTTTAATACATACTATTGCTAAATGTGACCAATCTAATTTTTTGTGGAATCCATTACTTGTTTTGTCCTGTACACTTGATCTTAGCCAAAAGGCCGAGAAGCGATTGTTTTGTCCTCTAAAGCAGGCTTTAAAAACGTAAGTCTTATGACAATCATGAATACTTTATACATGTCTATACATCCGTATTTCAATATGCAAATGGAAATAAACTGCAAATATATTCTTTTCATTATCCCCAAAAATTAGCAGAAACATGTACAAAGTTATATAAAGTACACTAGGCTTTCCTCCCTAACCTCAACAACTCTGAGCCATGACCAAATACAAATGCAGATTAAATCAATTTTAAAATTTATTTTTTGCTTTAGATGAATATCTGTCTTCAGAACAGCTCATTTTCAACTACACTGCATCTGCACTTTTAAAAAAGGGTATTAGACGAAGTATTTTCTTCAAGTACATCTTTATTGAAAAAAAGTCAGAAACTACTTACAGTCATGGTTGACTAGTGCTGCCAAATGTGCATGACCGCGAGGATGTGGAATTGCCCTGAAAGGAGAAAAAAAAATTAAAGTAATACCATTTATGCATATAATTAATTAAAATCAGAAAGTGAATCTTCCTTAAGCTATATAATTTTTCTTAGTACAAAATAACATAAGAATGCATTTGGCCTATGATTTAGCAGACACGTCTACTCATTTCAGCAATGCACTAAACTACTTGGGGGTTGGCAAACATTTTTGGTAAAGACCTGGATAGTAAATACTTTAGGGGTTGTGGGCCAAGATGCAAAATCAGTGTATTATGTAGTTACATAATGAGAAAAAGCAATTTTCACAAACTTTTCATTGATATAATAGTAATAACTGAGTGCTTTTTTTTTTTTTTTGTAGTAGAACTGTTTTGCAGGGAGATTACATTTTGTTAAACTGGGATTTAGAATCAGTGTTCCCTGTTTTCAAAACGGACCATAAATCTTTATCTGATAATGATGATCTACAATGAAATTTTAAGTATTTCATCTTTGAAAATATTAATTCATGAGTACAAGTTGAGCATATTCATTGCTTGAAAGACATTTATAGAATTCTAGTGGATTCTTCTCCTCATACTTATTTACCTTTAAAAACATGTCATTATATTGCAGATTAATAACTTCCGATCTAAGTTAAAGCAAAATTTCCTCAATTGTACAGTTAAATGAATTTGAAACATGGAGATTTCCTTTTTATTTGCATCAATGTCTGAAGTTCTGGCACTACACAGTTTGAGGTCATAAAATATATCAAAGTATGAGAATAGAGTCAAGATCCTTGCTTTAACTTCTGACAACCAATGCTATCAAGCCATGAAAAGTAAAAGAAACCACTCAAAATCACTAGTTATTGAAATAATTTTACAATATAAATTTCATAGATAAGCATTAGTTTTAGGCTAAATTCATTAAACATTGTTAAGTCTGCATAAAACTTAAATTTCCAAACATATTCTCTGCTCAAAAATTGTAGCTGATGTAAATTTTCTCATTCAGAAATATTCCAATCTTGGTCCTGAGCTCAAAAAATTTACTGTTAAGCCATCAAACTGCTGTATAGTAGGGCAGGATGGAATATTCAGTTTTTTATTTCCGACAAAAAACCACGGAAATGACAATATTTAGGTCCATAAGGGCAAATAAAGTTTACCATTGGCACACCAGTTTAAAATGCATAATAAATTCAAATATTTTCTGCAAAGTACTACTGATGATACAATGGATAACAATAGGCATTAAACACATTACATTTTCACAAGATTTGAAATGCATCCAAGTAGGCTATTTTCCGCTCCACACACCACTATCAGTTGTAAGACATTTGTAACACATCTTACCAGATTACACTTTAGGTTGCACTGATATTGTATTCTCTCAACTTCTATAAAAATATTCTTGCCTATAGTTTTTGCTGCAAGCAGGCTATTCATAGATTCTAATTCTTCAATCATTTCAAATTCAGCATTGATTCCTCAAATAAACAATAAGCAGGTCTGGTAACATCTGTCCACTCATCAAGAGCTTGGAAATCACTCAAAATCTCCTAGCTTTTTTTTTTTTTTTTTTTTTTTTTTTAGTTTTATTTATTTATTATTTTTTGAGACGGAGTCTTACTCTGTTGTCAGGCTGGTGTGCAGTCATGTGATCTGGGCTCACTGCAACCTGTGCCTCCCGAGTTCAAGTGATTCTCCTGTCTCAGCCTCCAAGTAGCTGAGACAATAGGTGCACGCCACCACGCCCAGGTAATTTTTGTATTTTTAGTAGACAGGGTTTCACCATGTTGGCCAGAATGGTCTTGATCTCTGGACCTTGTGATCCACCCATCTCTGTCTCCCGAAGTGGGGGGATTACAGATGTGACCCACCGCATCCAGCCTCTTGGCTTGTTTTTTAACTGACTATTAGATACTGCTCTCAATTGTCCTCATCTACTGGAATACTTTTCTTGAAGAAGGCTAATCATCTAATTGTCTAAAGCAAATTTGTTTTCTCTGGATTCACTGCTTTAGCTTTTGCAGTCAAACATTGTTTCTTAGATTTATCAATACATGGATGTTGGTAAACAATGAGGTACTTAAAGACCACAGCTTCATTTTCACTTTTTATGATAAAATTCTACAGTTTCTGGATATTTCAATTTAAATTTTCTAATTTTTCTGACCATTGCTTTTTTATAGGTTGGCAATATTGTGATGAATGCTCAATCTGGTACTATCAACATATACTGTACTCTTTTTGGCACAATTAAATAGTGTCATTGCTTAATAAGCAGGATCTTCTGCAGCCAAATTTGATCAAATAATCCATACTCCACTGTTCTTTAAAAATGCAAAATTTGGAGTCCCTATTTTCTTTAACATAGTAATACAATAAATAAATAAAATGTTGCAGTACAAGAATATACATGGCACTTTTAATGCTGTCAACTAATAACTGCATCACTGTAATTGATAGTACACCTAAGTACACAGTAATGAGGGAGTAATATAGTTTCTACCAGAATTACTCAGCTGTGGGATTGTAATACAAAAACAGCCATATATAAACAAACGAGCATGGCTGTATGCCAATAAAACTATTTTTGGACACAAACTTAAATTTCATATATTTCTCATGTATTACATTATTCCCCTTCTGATTTATTTTCAAAAATTTACACATGTAAAAACCGTGGCTCAGCAAGGTGGCTCCCGCCTGTAATCCCAGCACTTTGAGAGCCTAAGACAGGAGGATCACTTGAGATCAGGAGTTTGAGACCAGCCTGGCCAACATGGTGAAACCCTGTCTCTACTAAAAAGACAAAAGTTAGCCAGGCGTGGTGGTGGGCTGCCTGTAATCACAGCTACTCGGGAGGCTGAGGCAGGAAAATTGTTTAAACCCAGAAGGCAGAGGTTGCAGTGAGCCCAGATCACACCACTGCACTCCAGACTGGGCAACACAGCGAGACTCTGTCACAAAAATAAATAAATACATAAAATAAAACAAAATAAAAACATAAAAACCCTTCTTAGCTCATGAACTATACAAAAACAGGTAGTAGGCTGAATCTGGTATATAAGCTGTAGTTTGTCTACCCCTGCAATAAGCCTTTGTTCTGTTATGCACTGTTACATTTCAAATTTAACCTGTTCTTTTAACTTTATACCTCTACAAGTAAGTATTATCCTTCCCTGTTTCTGGTTAAAATAATGAAAAAAATCACCTTGAAGATCTCCTTTACCACAATCCTGCTTTACCTAGTTACCAATTCTAGCAATTAACTAAAAAATTGAAAACAAAAACTCTCAATAAAAGATCCTTCTTTATTTATAACCAATTAACTGTCACCACTGTCAAGTTGCAGAATATGCCCTGGTAGGTCTAAACATTGTTTAATTTGTTCGATATGGTACCTAGCAAAACACCAGGCACTTAAAAAAAAAAAAAAAAAAGCAATACAATCATTAGGAAAACGTATTAACTAACATTTAACACAAAGTATACTAAAACTTTGCTCAATAAAGCATTTCTTTATGCACTGGAATAATTGGCAGTTTGGTCTGGTAAATTCTTCTGTGTTCACAGTGAAGTATATTACCTCAAGCTTATTACTAAAAAGAAAGTCTACTGTCATAAATTATTCCTAGCTCCATTCATATCATCAGTCTAACAGTGTTCCTACTATTATTTTCAAACAAATTCAGGGAAATTTTTCTGAATAAACAAATTACAATACTACACATTGAATATCCCTTATCCAAGATGCTTGGGATCAGAAGTTTCAAATTTTAGATTTTGGAATATGTACATTTTATTTGCCACATAGGCCTCCCTAACCTGAAAATCTGAAATCTGAAACACTCTCAAGCATTTCCTTCGGGTACCATGTTGACAATGCTCAAATTTGGAGTATTTTGAATGCTCCAAATTTGGAGCATTTCAAATGTCAGATTTTCAGATAAGGGATGCTCAACCTATATATTTTACTTGGATGATCTCTCTCACAACCCAGGATATTACTCTGAGAGGAATAGAGAGCTGTTTTAAATAAAACCTCCTTCTTTATTTTGTTAACAGGTATATTCATTTTATGAAATAATAGCATAAGTGAGCATCCTCTTCAAAAAATTAAAAGTTAAAAATCAAATTAAATCACCCTAGTACAGATGACTGTAGTTATCTTAACACTTGTTAAAACTCTGCATAGGGAGGGTGGATACTCAGAATTTACTTATTTCTTTCCTGGGATATTTTCTACTCTATCAGAAAGGAAGCTAGTCTAAGTGATTTTCAGTGGATGAAAAGTTGTTCTGGCGAGTGAAAAGAGGCATTTTGAGTTATCAGAATTATTGGGGAGGGGTTGCTATTGGAATTTACTGGACAACTGCCACAGAAACAAGGCATCCTGCAATGACATTGGTCGTCTCACACAAAAAAGAATCATCCCAAGTTTTGCGTGACTTTCAAATGCTCTAAGAGATATTCGTGTACATGAAAAGCCCATTAGAATAATCTGAGTCTAGAACTTAACTCCATTTAGCTGTACAAAGCACCTGTTGTAGTTTTAATATACACTAAATTTCCCAGAAAACTGAGGGAAGCTTCTATTCTGTCTTGTTTAATATTACAAAGTATTTTCAGTAAGTGAAAACAACATACTTGCCCACTGTTATGTGAAAATTCCCGGCTACTTTATTGACATATAGATGACCATGAATTCTGCATGCATCTGGAGACTGTGATGAATCATCTTCCCTATTAAAACAAGGTATATTATTTAAAGCATATTCAATATAGTTACCATTTTATGATGAGAAAACTGTGTAGAGAAAAAAAAATCTCTAATGATCATTTTTCAGGTAATATTCTAAATGTCAAAAATAGAATAGCAGTTTCCTGAAGTCTAGACATCTATAAAAATTACACATGTATAAAATGGGAAAAAATACTTATTTAATATCTATTAAATTTACATAAATTTAAAAGTCCATGGTTCTTCAACTCTAACCAGAAGACTTAGTTCAGCAACAGAAGAAAGACTAAAGCAAAAAAATTAGTCCAAAAAGATATGCTTTCTTCATTTATATCTGCCACTGTAGTGGAGACAGGGAGGAAGGGTAGAAATATGAAGTAAAGGAAAGGCATGCCACCTAAGTTCAAAGAGGCAATGACATTTTCTTCCTAAGCAAATATAAACTCTTCTGTATTTTAAAATTTAAATTGTTATGTTTATGATTACAGCATTTCCGAATATCCACCAGTCTTTTTTTTTTTTTTGCAATAGAGTCTCACTCTGTAGACCAGGCTGGAATGCAATGGCGCAAACTTGGCTCACTGGAACCTCTGCCTCCTGGATTCAAGCAATTCTCCTGTCTCAGCCTCCCAAGTAGCTGGGACTACAGGTGTGCATCACCACGCCTGGTTAATTTTTTTGTATTTTTAGTAGAGACGGGGTTTTCACCATGTTGATCATGCTGGTCTCGAACTCCTGACCTCAAATGATTCACCTGCCTTGGCCTCCCACAGTGCTGGGATTACAGGCATGAGCCACCATGCCTGGCCTATAATCTTTAAAATAAAAAAATTAAAAAAAATATATATATAGCCTTGAAAAAAAAAGTGAAATAAAACTAAATTTCTAACCAAAGTATATATATCCTCATAATAGTGAAACTAATTTTTCTTAAAACTTAATAGAATTTTATGGGGAGGTATACCACACATAAAAAAGAAAATTAAATGCTAACGAAATAATATACGTGTGATGATACTCATCAAAATCACAGGCTATAAATTTGAGAGCAAAAGTCATCTTTATAGAGTACAGAATGATTCCATTTTCACTTTCTAAGAAAAGTGATTCAGAAAAATAAACCAACACTTTAGTTTTAATTATGTCAAAATAAATTCATAATAAATAGCTGTACATTTAAAATACAGATTTCACCTTGGTGGAAGAGCTGTTGATGCACTTTTAAAAGCACTTTTAAATATCACATCTTGAAGTGAATGCTCTTCTTGTAGCCTACTCTGAATCAGCTGCAGCATCCTAAATAAGACACAAACAATAGTTTAAAACTACGGTAAGGTACATAAAGAGGGCTGACACTTATTCAAAAATGACGATGTTTAGCAGACTTAACTAAACCATACATTTATTATAATAGCATTTCATAATCTAAAATAACATACCAAGTTTTCTTTGGTCATTTCCTTGAAAGCAAGTGAAGCAGGGAGGCTAGAGGTCTAACAGCTGAGCTCCATAAGCCTATAATTGATCCCGGCAGTAAAGGATGTGCAGTCAGAACCACAAAAGTAGGGCTTCTACTCACTTACGTATCTAAATTCATCTTTCATGCATACATGCACAATTACAAAATTCTTATTTTTGTCAAATGTTGAATGAAATATTGTAGATACAAAGAGTAAGACAAATAAGGGGCTACATAACAGACTTGATGGATGTGAAGTGGCACATTACTTAGTAAAAACTCATACTACAAGTATCTAATTTTCATTAAAAAAATTTTTCTCTGTCCAATACTTCTACCATTGAGCCATGTTATCTCCTACAATTTTCAGCAATTACTTTGTGTCATTAGATGTAGTCCTATTTTATCTCTTTTAATTCTATTTCTTTAAATAACTAATATTCGAAGTCATCTGTAGTAAAGTTCAAACTTGGTAAGTACAAAAATTATACACTGTGAGGAGGGAAGAATAAATAGGCAGAGCACAGATAATTTTTAGAGCGGTGAAACCATTCTGTATGGTACTATGATAGATACATATCATTATACATTTGTCAGAACTCACAGAATGTACATTCGACATTAAGAGTGAACCCTAATGTAAACTATGGACCTTGTGGCAACATAGGTTCACTGATTATAACAACTGTATCTAATCTGATGTAGGATGTTGATAATGGTGGAACCTGTAGGGGAGGAGAATATGTGCCTAACTACTCTAATAAAATAAATACCTATATATAACTTGGAAAAAAGTTATAAACATAGGTACTTACAAAAAGAAAGCAAATGTAAATCTCATAATATTTTGCCATTCCACCAAAATGATAAAAATAAGCACTTTCTAGATGTGCAAGTGGAAGATTAAAAACTTATACATCATCTATCTATTAGGAAAATTAGTACAAAAGGCCTATTTAAGATAACAAGTCATATTTATACACGTTATTTTTGCTGGAATAAAATAAATCTTAAATCCAGACATAAAATGTAGAAAATACAAAGGCTCTGTCCAGGGTTTGAAATTTACAGTTAAAGAGAGATTAATTGGAATATTCAATATTTTAAGTATTACAGAAAACCAATTGAAAGAAAATTTAAATCTCTTAGAAAATTCTAGAAGTAAAGAACATTTTGGCATGCACATTATTTAGGAAGATAAATATCTTGGGTATCTACAGGCCATTCAAGAGCCATTCAAGAATGTTTAGAAGCAGAAAATGATAATCCAGGATGATCCAAGAAACCAGATTCCATCTTCAGATTCAGACACTTAAAGACTTAAAATCTTTGGATCCAATGCCAGCAGAAATGGAAATCTTCACCTTTTTTTGTGTGTCTTGTATTTCGAGTTCAATTTTTGATAAATGGCAATGATCAAGGAGTTTGATGGCACGAAACTATACATGTGTGTATATGGATGCATGTATTATGTGTGTGTTTATGAAAAAAATTTTGCCTTCAGTGTGCCAATAAATATCCCAAGCCTATATTCCACACATGAAGGTATGTAGAAAACTACTATGATGGCAAATTTGTATCATCTTAATAGGAAAAACACAATCTCTTCTGCCATTTATTACTAGTTTGGAGCACTGAAAATAATTCTAGATGAAAGAAGAAATCTCACTTTAATATTTCTGGATCAAAGTATTTCATCTGTGGACAGCTTTCTACTAAAAATTCTAAGAGCCCATGGACAGCTAATATGCAGAGCTTTTGTTCACCCACATTCAATTTCAACTTTCACATAAAAACTCCCTCAAGTGGTGAAACTGGAAATTAAAAGAGAAAGAACCTTGGAATATACTTAGGAACTAGGGGAAAAAAAAAAAAAAGGTAAAGAAAAATTATTTTGGAATAATCTTAAACTATATAAAGACTTTGTAAGTGCAAGACATAACCTAGAAAACAAAAAGCAATATATGGGGGTGGGAGACGGAAACACTTATAACAAAGTACTATTTTCTTTTTTTTTTTTTTTGAGACAGAGTTTCGCTCTTGTTACCCAGGCTGGAGTGCAATGGCGCGATCTCGGCTCACCGCAACCTCCGTCTCCTGGGTTCAGGCAATTCTCCTGCCTCAGCCTCCTGAGTAGCTGGGATTACAGGCACGCGCCACCATGCCCAGCTAATTTTTTGTATTTTTAGTAGAGACGGGGCA